GTTTTTGGTTTTGAAAGGGTGAAAACGGCGTTGGCTTTGGTCACATCGCTTCCTGTGGAGTTTCTCTTCTCATTGGTCGTGGTTTGTAAGGAGGGAAATGGGGTGAGAAGGAGGAGAAGTCCCAGAGTAAACAGCATTTTGAGCCAGCACTGTACCACTTATGGTATTGCCTTTGGAGAATCTGTATGTACGTTACTGTAAAACTATGAACCCCTTCTCTATATTTCTCTGAGTTGTGAAGGGGGATTTGGCCAGGATCTTCCTACAGATGAAAAAATGAAAGACATTAATTATGACTTGGTTCAATGCAGAAATCCCTTCAGACACGTCTTTAAACTCAAGAAAGGCTTTGCTCTGTCCTGATTCCTCACTGCTTTAGCATTCAGTGTGTTACCTGTCACATTTTTATGCTCCAACTCCAACTAAAAATCTAAGTCAAACTGAAAAAAAAAAAAAGTAAACCATAAATGCTGGTACACATTTAAAAGTGAAGAAAAGAAATGCAGCAGTATTCCAGTCAGCCGTAAAAGTTGATTCAGTGGCCTGCCAAAACAAATAACATCTAAATGAACTGATTCGGAACAGGAAGGAAGAAGGTGACTTGCGTGGGAAATGCAGAGAGTGCTGCTGGAGAGATGATGCTGAGCAGTAACAGAGCTTCACTGTATAGAACTGTGGGACACTGTACGTCTTTCACTATACAGACGGTTACATAATCCACTGAACCCACAACCTGTAAAACCACTAAAAAAAATATTTCCAGCCTTGGCCTTAAATCTGTAGAAAATCAAATAACTTGTGCAACAGGTAAACACATTCAAACGCTTTGCTACACAGCACTCCAACTTTGAAATGTTGCATCAGAGCACATTTATTAATTGACTATGAGGCTGCAGTATTGGGCACTCGCATTTGTTAATCTAACTTAAGAATTTATAAATTAAACTCGACTCACGGAGAGATTTAGGTTTATTTACTGTTATCTTATGTGTGCACACAAAAAACATCAATGTCATGTTCTTCACCTCCATCTTCAAACACTTTTTTCTGCAGCTGAAACACAGTATTTAACATTTTTGCAGATTTTCTTTCCTCAGTAACAAACATCAAAATATTTTCACACTCTCCATAAAGTTAACTATGATGATGACGTGCATTGATTCGACTGGCTGCTGTTACCATTCTGAGATTATAACAATTACATGGAGAAATAAATCACTTACCAGAGTAAAGGTTTAGTTCTTTATCTCTGCCTTTGTGCTGCTCCCTCCATCTGATTGGAAAAGCTCACATGGACTCGCTGGTTATGATGAGGGAGGAGAGAGGTGAGAAAAAGGACCACCACTAGAAAGGAGGAGAGTGATAAAGTCTGCTCCTACTTAAGGACCCCCCCTCTTCCACGCCTAGTGGTCCCACTCTCTCAACCACAACGGAAAATATTTGTATTGGACTTTTGAAACGAGTGACATTTTTACACAGATTTCTGCATCAAATACGATCAACTGCTCTCTTGAATTTTGTTATAGCACTTTCTTTTTAAAACACATTTTTCAAGTGTTTATGGTAAATGTTTTACGATCCCAACAATCCAGGGTCATTTGTTTCTGTTTGAAAGATACATAATACATATGTGTGAACATAATTTATGTTTTGTATGTCATTTAAAAACATAAAATGTTGAGATATTGGACTGACCTGTCTGTGTGGGACGTTTAGGACACAAAAATGAAAACACAAAGAAAGCCTGCGTGCATGTTTCAGCTTTTCACTGCCCCGGACAGCCATCCCAGTGTCTTGACATATTCCAGACATTGCTAACACTTCGACACTGTCTGTGATTGAATAAAGCCCAGAGGGTTGAGAATCATGATTCAGCTGGAATACACAGCATTAACACTGCAGGTATTCAGTGCTGACTCTGGGGGACAGGAACCTCTGACCATATGAATCGGCCGTTTGTCGGAGGTAATGAGATGAAACTACGTGGGAGTTATGTAAGTGGCCAAATATCCACCAGATTTAAGGAATGCTCTGTGAAGGCACTGCATCTCTCACCAAATGGCCACCCACCATCCCACCTTTTGTAAACCACATGAAGGAGAGTGTTTAAAGTTGTGAAGAGCAAACAGGGCATAAGTGTCATGTTCTGAATTTTACAGAAGAACATCAAAAATGTATATAATTTTCTACACTATGCTTTATTTTTGTTAGACTACAAGTATTCAACCAATGAAAGCTGTAGTTTACATTTATTAACATTAGTTTCAAATATAATAAGAAGCCTTCCTGGTAACTAGTAGAATCATCAATATTTGTCATGGCCAAGCCTTGAAAAATCCTGCAAGCTTACTGATTGTTAATATAAGATATATATGCATTGTAGCATGAGTCTACCTAATGTGTTGTTCTATTTTTTACTGCTGTAGTCCTAACGTGGTAAAATATTATTTTGCTCTGAGATCATTTTTGTTCCTATGAGTGTGAGCATGCGAAACCATTTTGCACAATGGATGTGAAACTCTCATATATTCTGTCACATGTGCTCACAGTCTGATATGTTGCAGGGAAGTGAGAACCCACACAGTAAACATTGTATTTACCCAAAGGTATTTTAGTTGCAACTGTGTTGAGATAGCAAGTTTTTTTTGGTGAGTACAGTGTGTACCGATACTGACAGACAACTAACCAACACTGTTGCAGCACAAGGTCTCCGACAGTACTGAAGCTCTAGTGTTGTCAGTTGTGTGCTGTTTCTGCTAAATGTAAATGCACTGTGGTTTTCCCTAAGTTTGAATAGTGGTGACTATACTGTTCATACTATAAGCATCCAATGATGTACATCAGCAAACAGAAACCACTAATGACAAAGAGCATCCTAAAGAAATAGAGGTTAAATTTTCGAAAAAATAGAAAAAAA